CAAGTGCTAGAAGAATGGACAGGAAGTAAACTAAGAGAAAAACAAAGCACAGCTTCTCTTTCAAACTCATTTCGAATAGCCAGTCTTATTATTCTGCCAGCAGCAGCATCAGTTACACCAAGACTACTTAAATGATTTGGGCTCAGCAATTAGAGTGGGAAACTCCCATTATCTACAACCATTTTATGCAGCTATAAGAGTCAAGAGGAACAGGTCATAATGATATATTGTCCCTCTCTCCAATAAAAAACCATTCTGGCTTTCATTTCTGACCTAAGTTCTAGCACCACTAGACACTGAAACAATCAGAAAATGAAATTTTAAAACAAAGGAAACACATATCAGCCAAGGCAATGGCAAAGCTTTATAATTACATATAAATTAAAATTAAAACTTATATATATGAGAAGTTTAAGAAAGCAGAAATCCCAAACCCCTGCAGCATTCATCCTTTGACCAAGAGTAAGGTATTGTGAGCTTATTCCTAAACTAAAAACTCTGAGCTCCTTAAACTCCTGCCTTTATCCTGCTACCTATTATGTCCACAACAAGAGAACATGGGAAATGTTCCACCTCTCCTTAGTGACACAAACAGCACATTCTGCCTTGGAAAAACACACAGTTACTCTCTTCTACCAACAAAGCATGCATTTCTTGAATCCCACACTATCTACCATCTTCAATCTCTTGAGTGTCAAAGTGTTGTAGAATTCATTACATTTTTTTAAAAAAGACTATACACTTTCCATTTGAAAAGCAGATTTACACAGAGAAGGAAAGACACAGAAAGATCTTCCATCCATTGCTTTACGGCCCAGATGGCTGTCACAACTAGAATTGAGCTGATCTGAAGCCAGGAGCCAGGGGATTCTTCTGGGTCTCCCACATGGGTGAAGTGTCCCAAAACTTTGGGACATTCTCTGCTGCTTTCCCAGGCCACAAGCAGAAATCTGGATCAGAAGCAGAGCGACTACAACATGAGCCAGTGCCAATTTGGGAAGCTGGTGTTTGTAGGTAGAGGATTAGCCTGTTGAGCCACAATGCTGGCTATCTCAATGTTAAGAAGGTTACCTGATAAAACTGAAAACATGATTTTAAAACTGAGGTTTTCTTAAACTTCAAAACATTTTCTTGAAATACAGGTTCTGATTCAACAAGTCTAGCTCCCACATGCTTCAAATGCTCCTAGTCCTCAGACACTAAAAGTAGCAAGTTCCTAAAAGGCAAAGCATCTATATACTACATTCTTCAAAGGCAGAATCTTAGTAACACTATTTTTTATTTTTATTCCTTCTTCTCTAAGTTATACCAGATCTAGTTTCATATTCTCTCAATACCTGTAATTTATCTTCAATGTTATCATGGATGCTTTCCTTTTATTCATCAGTAGCACTTAATTTCTTTCCTTTCATTCTTCCACACCCTAAAAGTAATTCCTAAAATGTGAATGCAGCTGATAAGAAAACATGCTTAATATATGTTCAAGTCTATTTCTACTCTTACGTCCTTTTAAGAAACGAATTCAACACAAATGCATCCAACAATTTAAAAACCAAAAAAGCTATGGATCAAAATGAGAAACAAAAGAAAAATAAAGAAGAAGAGAGCAGGATATACGTGGAGAAACTAAGCCTAACTTACATTCATCACAGTGACCCTAAGAGAAAAATAAAGCAAAAATAGTATTTAGTAAAAAAAATTTGCAACACATGTCTGAAAATTCTAAAACATCTCCAATTTTCAAGTTTTTAGAGAGAATCTTATTATAAGATTCAATCTAGTGGATATGCCATAATGGCTATTTCTAAAGTAATCAAGCCATCTATTCACCTGTAATTAAGTTAAAATTTACTGTTATTTTCAACCTTGAAATACGTTAATGGTAGCAAATACCACTGCAGAGCAAAAAACATTTCAGAGATGCTTCCTACATGGTAGAGAAAACTATTTGAGTAATTACACAATATGTTTTATTTCCTTTAAAAAAAAGATTAAAATTTAATCACCTTAAAGTTGGTCCTCCCAGGATACTGCCAAATGAAGCAACACTTGTTTCAGTTGACTGCAACTGTTCAACTGGCTAATCCTCCACCTTGCAGCACTGGCATCCCATATGGCCATTTGTTTGCACATCGGCTGCTCCACTTCCAGCCCAGCTCCCTGCTTGTGGCCTGGGAAAGTAGTGGAGGACAGTCCAAAGCCTTGGGACTGTGCACCTGGATGGGAGACCCAGAAGAAGCTCCTGGCTTCAATTTAGTTTTGCTCTGGCCATTGTGGCCATGTGGCGAGTGAACCATCAGATGGAAGATCTTTCTGTCTTTCTCTCTGTAAATCTGCCTTTCAAATAAAAACAAATAAATATGTTTTTTTTTTCTAAAGAGAGAGAGAAAAAAAGAAACAAATATTTGTTTTAGGACTTTCATCATGTACTCCAATCTTAGCAGCATACCTAGACTTCCAGAAGTAGAAACTGTGATGTCAAACTAGATCTTCTAATTGGAAGGATTACCAAGTCCTATCCATTCTATGCTTTTAAGTGATTCACAGTCAATTCTTTTCATTCCTTCTATTACTGTCATTCCAAGCCTTTTTTCTCATCTTGCACACAAAATCAACTATTCCAACATCACTGCCTCAAGTCACCTTTTCTCCACTTTAAAATCCTTACTCCACATTACTGTCCTGGTAGACTTCCCAATAGAAAACCTAATATCTTTTCTACTCAAAAACTTTTGCTCTTCCCCAAAATCAAAACCCAAGGCATTTACCACAGCACTTAATTTTCCAAGACTTGAGTCCTATCTGCCTCTCAGACATCAAATACCACTGTATTCCCCTTAATGTTACACTTAAAGTCCCATCAATATCAAGCTACACAGCTTGAATTTCCATTACACTCCTGCTGGTTAATACCTCCAGGCTTTTTTGCATATGCTATTGCGTTAGTCTAACATGTCCTTCACATCTTAGGACTCCTGTGCCATCCCAGACACTAGTAATATCTTTTAAAATCTTTTGAGAACCCAGAAACATATCTCAAGATTCCACCTTCTATTTCTTTTCTAAGATGTTTTTTTAATTGAAAAGGCAGATATACAGAAAGGATGAGAGACAGAGAAAAATCTTCCATCTGCTGGTTCACTCCCCAACTGGCCGCAACGGCCAGAGCTAGGAGCTTCCTCTGAGTCTTCCACATAGGTACAGGGTTCCAAGGCTTTGGGTCATCCTTGACTGCTTTCCCAGACCACAAGCAGGGAGCTGGATGGGAAGCAGGGCTTCCAGGATGAGATCCAGTGCCCAGTGCATTCAAGGCAAGGACTTTACTCACTAGGCCATTGCCAGGCCCTCCACCTTCTATTCTTAAAGAATCAAATATTTCCTCCTCTGCCAACTCAGTCCATAATAATGGCATTTACTGGGGGCATTTGCTATGTCCCTGACATCATTCTAAGAATCTTACACATATCACCTACTTTTTAAAAAAGATTTCTTTTATTTATTTTTATCGCAAAGTCAGATATACAGAGAGGAAGACCGATAGAGAGGAAGATTTTCTGTCCAATTCACTCCCTAAGTGGCTGGAGCTGCGTGGAGCCAAAGCCAGGAGTCAGGAGCCTCTCTCAGGTCTCCCACACGGGTGCAGGGTCCCAAGGCTTTGGCCCATCCTCAACTGCCTTCCTAGGCCACAAGCATGGAGCTAAATGGGAAACAGGGCTGCCAGGATTGGAACTGGAGCCCATTTGGAATCCTGGCACGTGCAAAAAGAGGACTTTAGCCACTAGGCTACTGTACCGAGCCCTTCATATCACCTAATTTAATCATCACCATCACCCTTTCTGTGACATGGTACCACTATTACTTTTGTGGACATGGAAATCAAATTACAAAGAAGTTAAATAACTTGATCCAAAGATATCTAACTCAATGGAGACATTAAAATACCTATATCGTACATGTCTCATACTATCAAACTGAATATACATGACTATTATTAGGGTAGACGGTAAGCTCTTTGAAGGTATGATTCATCTCATATTCAACTCTAAATCCACAGTGCATGCTATAAAGTTTTTAACCAATGCATGCATTTCTTGCACTAATTTTAACATAACATGCCTAAAAGTTCAATAGAAAAATATTCAAAAACCTGTTTCAAATTTATGCAGGGAAAGTTCTAGAACACTGCAAAACTATTTTTTCATCTAATAAAAAGTGTGTGTAAAAGAGAGGTTATTATAGACATGAGATTTAGTCCTTCTGGACAATGAAATGTACTTATTTTGCAGTAATACTGCTTAATCACTGCAATAAATCAAAACCCAAAGGACCATTTGCTGAAAATTAACTTTTTTTTTCAGTAAACAAATATTCTCGTTGCTTAATATTCAAGGCAGTAAAAAGAAAGCCCTAAATTTACTTTGGTCAAGTGGGGAAAAAAGCAAATCACAGAGCAGTACTACTAATTGCTTCCTTATATCCGGCCAAGAAATGTATCCAACTAGGCAATTAAAATAAAATACTGTTGCCTGACTAAGCATTTAACAAAAGAATTTTTAAGGTTGTGTGTAACAGTATTTCATCACACAAATAATGAAACTTTTTTCATCTTCTGTAAAGAACACAAGAAAATTAAAAAAGATAACCACCACCGCAAGACCAGAACCTTCAGCACTAAAATGGTACATACACACATATTAAAACACGAAAATACATTTCTAATAGTTCAGTAGCCATTCTTGAAATTCTAACCCTCCAAGTTATTCTAATGCTGAACAACTTCAAGACAAAATCAGTCACCCGAAGTGTGAAGTACAGTAACTGAAATCCACAGAGAGGGTACCAGTGGCAACACCGCACACCACAGGTCTGGTTAGAGTGCCCTGCACCCCGCCCAACTTCTACATACTTGGTTCACTCTACAAAGACAAATCAGAAAACTCAAGAGTGTAGGCCAAAGTGAGTACAGGCCACACAACAGCGTACCACCAAGCACATCTTACCATTTCTTTGTGCATTCAACCATCAGCTCCTGGTAGGAGGCCACAAACTGGAACTTGGATGCATGCTTTCCCACACGCTGCAGTCTCTTCCAAACTGAAGCCATGATGATTGGTCAATACAAGGGAGCAGTTCTGGGTTAGCAACACAGTAGCTTAGTAAACTAGAGGGTCCAAAGCAAAGGAGCTTTGCATATATGTCTTTCTGTACCTTAAAAAAAAACCTCAACTAGCTCAACTAGAACTTGAAATGATGCTTGGAGTTCATAAATCTTCTCCCTGTTTCACAGGGTAAATCCCATCTTAGATGAATGGCCCGGACAAGAACAGTATGGTCCGCATGACAGGATGAGTAAGAGGAGGTTCCCTCATGAAGACATCACCTTGCCACATCAGGGGCTATCTGTGGAGGACTGCAAAGCAAAACAAAGACAAAAAGAAAGAATATGAGAGGGGCATGAAGTGACTAACCACTCGTGTTGGATAATGCTGCAGCCGACAACCCCAGTTCTCTGCATGTTTTTCAAACAATGAAACAAAACAAGGATCTCAAAAGCCAGTAATATCAGATGTTAAGACACCATGGAAGAAATTACAATTCACACCAAAGCCGGGTAACAACACATCAAGTAATCATCCTCAACAGCAACCACACCAGTTGGGCCCAACCTTCCCCTCCCAGCATCACCAAAGGGCGAGCAGAGCGGGAAAGTCTAGGGATGCTGTTAAATACCCACCGCCAGCCAGAGGCAGGAGTGTAGCATTTTTTAAATGAACTTTGTTTCTCAGTATACAATTAACTGCCCCGACTCTGAGAATATGTGTTTTGAAGAAACTGAGGAGAGGGGAGACATGCTGTTGTTCGGTCGAGGGGGGCGGGGGCGGCTGGGGAATGAGTTGTGGAGGGAAACCTCCAGGCTGCGGGAGAGCAATGTCCCGGCTCCAGGCCACCTGGGCTGCCTTCACCTCCCCTGCCAGCGGCAGGCAAACGAAAACTCCTGCCCGGGCGTGAGGCAATGACCAGCGGGGCAAGGGGACAGTGCCGGGTGCGCTGCCTCCCTCCCCCATCCTCAGGGGAACAGTCCTCGGGAGCCTCCTCTCCTCACGCACCAAGCTCAGACCCCTGCCCCCCCGGCTGAGGCAGGCGGTGGCCCAGGGCAGTCCCTGTCACCCAGGAGATGCCAGAAGACCCCAGCCCAGTCCCCGAGCCCCAGCCCCGCCGCTCTTCCACTCCCGCCCCCTCCTCACACCTCTAATCCCGCTGTCGGGCTGAATCTGGCCCCGTTCCCTCCTCAGAGCCGCTCCTTCGTCGCCGCCGCAACAGCAGCCGCCGCCTCAGCCACCGAGTCCTCCATCCCCGCCGGAGCCACATGGAAGAGCCAAGCCAGGCGCGGCGCTCGCGGGAGCTGGGGTCCGCAACCCCTCAGGCGGACGGCGCCCCTCACGCCCGCCCCCTCCCTGACGGATCGCCCCGCGACCGTCCCCCACCCCAACAAACCCTGGCAGAGCCGCCGCTCAGCACCCAGCACCCCCTCCCCCGCCTTCCTCCTCCGCCACCATCATTACCTCCCCCGCCGCACCTCTCACACTAACCCTACCCACGGCGGCTCAACCTCCGTCCGCCCTGCCGCCATTGGCCAGGCCTCGCACGTACCCCGCCCACCTTGGCGGCCGGGCCTAAGGCGAGGCTGTGGCGCCTCATTGGCAGAGCCGCGTGCCTATTTCAGGGGCTCCGCCCCCTAGCTCGGGTGGTGTTTTTTTTCCTTAGCTGGAACGCGGCACAAAGTCCACCCTTCTTTTAAAAAAAAAACCTGGAACCCTCTGAGGATGATCCCGCCCCTTCCTCTGATTGGCTGGGGGAAGGGAGCGATGGGCGGGAGGAGCAAGAAGTGTTTATAGTGAACTGAAACAGGAGTGCTGGAGGAGTCTGTCCGTCAAAGGTGCAGCCGGGTGCCGGGCGGGGTTTCTGGCTCCGTTCGCAGAGGCAGGGACTAACCTTCTGCTGCTATGGGCAGTGTGGTTGCTGTGGCTTTCTCTCGGGCTGTTTCTTATCCCCACCCTAGGACCTAGGAGCGTCCACTGCACTATTAGCAGCTAGGAATTTTGCTCACACATTATTTTTTAAAAAATCCTGACAAACTGAAGCAATGACCCTATCAGGATCCCTGCCCAACATTCAGTCAAGTGGTCCTCAGCGGGATTTTCTAAGCTGAGCTAAACACAAAATCCACTGAGTACCATCCCCTCTTGCTCTGACTTTGCAGCATCTAGATTTTTTCTCTTCCCCACCCATCCCCTTCCTGGTAAGAACTGTGGATGGATTTGGGAGTGGCTGGCATATAAAAAAGGTGGTTAAAGCAAGGAGAGAATTTAAAAACCTTAAGTCAGTGAAAGCAGGGGCACTTAACCTTATTAAAAACCAAGGATTCTCTTGGAAATGGGAAAGCGATTGACGCTTTCCCAAAGTGGAGAAAATGTCCTACCATAAACTATAAACATTTGCTTTCAATTGTAGATAGTTCACAGAGCTCTAGAGAGAGGACAAAGAATGAAATTCCAGGTGACTCCTAGCCTTTAAGGAGCTTGCATAGTAGAGACTGAAAACGGAATGTCAGGAAATAGGAAAAAACATAGGGCAAAGGGGGATACCTTTGGAAGAAAGAGAGAAAACTAACATATGAAAGGAAAGCAACAGAATAGAGGCAATTAAGGGTCATTGCTCACTTTATTAAAATTGGACAGTAAGTGGCTGGAAAAATAAAGTGTTAGGGTCTAGGGACGGATTCTTTAAGAGGGAGGGATGGAAGGTATTGCTGGGTGAGAACTGAGAACACTTGTAGATGCTGGAAGGCAAAAGAAAGTAGAAAGGCAGAACTGAAGAAATCAGGTGGAAACAAATGAAAGGCCTGGATCCTGTGCCTAATTTTATTTCTACTTTGAATGAAGAAAATGATCTGATAATGTCATAAGAACATCGTGCATGTTACAGAAAAGAGCACTGTTATTGCTTGTTTGCTGTACACTGAATTGTAAAATTCTAAGATAATCATAATAATTTATATTGATTTTTGTATACACTTCAGAGTGCTCTAATGTCATTCCTGAATGTTCTAAGTCAATACATGCTAACAGTCATTATGATCTCATATAGTAATATGTTCTGCATCATTAATTGACTTTACCTGTGTGGGGCTTTTTAAATGTCTAATTTATAGAAATTGAAGCTATTTTGGGGCCTGGTGCGATAGCCTAGTAGCTAAATCCTTGCCTTGCATGTGCCAGAATCCCATGTGATTACTGGTTTGTGTCCCAGCTGCTCCACTTCCCATCCAGCTCCTTGCTTGTGGTCTGGGAAAGCAGAGGAGGACAGCCAAAAGCCTCAGGACCCGGCACCCATGTGGGAGACCAGGAAGAGGCTCCTGACTCCTGACTTCAGATCAGCTCAGTTGCTGTCATTGTAGCCACTTGGGCAGTGAACCAACAGAGGAACTGTCTCTTCGTATCTCCTTTTTTATGTATGTCTGCTTTTCTAAGGAAAATAAATGGTTCTTTTAAAAAAAATATTTTCAGCCCTTCAGGAACCTCCCATAAAATGATCAGAAGATTTTTTAAACCTATTTACTGTACTTCAAAACTTCTCAAACTTTCTTATATGGTTATCCTGATTTCCTTTAATACTCCCATTCCTCAAACACAGAAAGATTTCATTGTAGAGAAATATCATAAAAGCAGTGAATTTTTTAAACATGAGTACTTTTAGGAAAAATAAGGAAGAATAAGATTCACAGGGAACCTTAAGTTATAAAAAAAAATTAAGATATTATTTCTTAAAAGACATCTTTTTGTTAAGAGAAAATGTCTCTTACGTGTAAACTCTTCTTTTTCTATCTAGCCATTGACAGAGTTAAGAAGAAACCAAGGTTAGGATGATTTACTGTATTAAAGGAATTAAAAGCAGACCTTGATACTGTTCTGCTGCTGAGCTCAAGTTCAGAGGCTGTCTCCCAGAGGATCTATGGAGCAGCTACTTCATGCACCATAAGCTCTTTTAAGATAAACTGTCTACTAATTAAATGCATTGAAGAGCCTTAAATATAGAATATTCTAATATCCTTTATATTAGATATATTTAGCTGATAATTATCAAATACGATCAGGTTATGTTGTGGTCTTAGGCAGCTAGCTCAAAGTCAGGAGTTTGAAAGCCATACCTCCCCCCACCTGTGTGATCCTTTCACCCACCTGTGATGCTCACCTGTCATCACCTGGAACCGGAGAGGGGGCAGTATTGCATTGATACATTACCCTTCCCTCACCAGCCCCCATTAAGGCCCATGATAGGGAGGGGCACTCTTGGTCACGTGTTTCTGTCATTCTGGCACTCAGATTCTTGGCCTCCCCAGTACTGTTGCTCTCTGGCTTTCTGAGGACAAGTAGACTCATGATCATGGCAGCAGTATGTCTGTATTCCTCATCCTCTGTTCACTGCTTGGGAGAGTCAGTGAAGATGCAAAGGCTAAGATGCTTCATATTTCTAAAGTGCGCACTTGTGTGTTCTGAGAGAGGTGAGTCCTAGCAGTAACAGAATATGGACAGAGAAGCCAGGAAGAGGAGAATGTTTGCCACTTTGTGTGTCCAGGTTGTTTGCTGCATGTCTATTAGGATAATTTATATTGTTGGAGAAGCTGGAACATAGGTCTTCAGTTCAACTGATGGGTTTTTCAGTAATACCCATTTGTTCCCCTCAGGGTTTGAATTCGGACTGGATTACATGGACTTATCATTCGCTAATTCTAGTTGGACCTGACATCACCAAGCTTGGTTGATAAAGACTCCTTAATACATCTTAGACTTATCTGGTGTGATTTCTCTTGCACCCTGCAACAGTTACATATTTAAATAATACATAAAAGTTGGTCTCTGTTTTCAATGAGTTTTTTGAAACAGGTGACCACTACATATTGCAAAAAAGTAACAAAAACCTTACCCAATCTCTCTCAGTCTCAGTTTCCTAGTCTGTAAAAATAATCATGCCTACATTGCTAGGATGTTGAAAATCTGGAAGACATGAACGTGAAGTGACTGGCACATAATAAGCAGACAAATTGTAATTTACAGTACAAACTATTTTGTTTGGCAGCAAAAATATAAAGGAAGAAGAAATGCAGAACTTCAAAACTACCTGAGTAATATGACCACTTAGTTGGTTCCAAAAATGAGGACCTTATGAAATATAGTCAAACAATACTTTTAACATTATTCCTCTTCCATTAATTCAGTGGGTAGCAAGAGTGGAACATTAGTAATGCAGGTAGACTCAAGATACTATAATACTAACAGATTTAACTTACCCTCGATTCCTCATTTTTCTTAAATGCCCCACAGACCCTCTTCCACGATTGCCCATTGTTTTTCTATCATTCACTCAGATTCGATTTGTCATCTTCTTCCATCCCAGATAAATCTGAATGTAATAGGCATGTGAATTGAAAGTTACTTTAATTGTCTTACCCTTTTGATTTGGATTGTTATTTGCAAACTTTTATAGCTTGTTTTAAGGGAAGATTCAGCATTTTAAATAATTTGAATCTTGTCTTTAAGTATCACCACATTAGATGTCAGCATCATAGTGCAGTAGGTTAAATCACTGCTTGTGATGATGGGATCCATATGCCTGCAAGTCCTAATCCTGGCCAGTTCACTTCCAAGTCAGTTCCCAGAGAGATGGTTTAAGTATTTGGGCCCATGCTATCCAAGCTAAGAGACCTGTGTGGAGTTTGTGGTTCCTGTTTCTGTCTGCCCCAGGAAGATCTTTCTCTGTGTGTGTGTGTGTGTGTGTGTGTGTGTGTGTGTGTGTGAGAGAGAGAGAGAGAGAGAGAGAGAGAGAGAGAGAGAGAGAGAGAGAGGAAGAGATTCTGCCTTTCAAATACAAAAATAAATCTTTAAAAACATAAATATCACCACACTTAAAATGAAAGTAGAATATAAAAAATTAAGTGAAAAATGCCATCCAAAAATTACAAATCATCTCTGCTATGACAGGTTTGAAAATAACAGAGCTTACTTTCAACAAAGTAGCTTTCAAGAGATTATTTCAGGGACCTCCAAAATGGGAATCCTAGTCTATGAAATGCAATCCAGAACAATGAATTAATTTCTTGGTGATAAAATCTTTGGTTTTACAGTTTTTACATTTTATATATATTAAGTATAAATTAAAAATTAGTTTCACATGTTCTATTTTTCAAACATAGCTGCTAGAAATTATAGATTACAAAAAATAATAAACTTTAAATTACATATATAATTTATATTATGTTCCTGTTGGGGAATACTAGTACAAACAAGAGTAAAACTTCCTTTCACACAAATAGAAATAGATTTTCTGGGCTGTAAGACGAAGAAAAATGTTGGAAGAAATGTAAGATAAGTTAGATACTAGTGGATCCCTGAGAACATGACCTATACATATTCTCACCCTATTCTGACATAAGCTTTAGAGACAGGCATCAATTTGCAGCGTCTATCTATGGGATCTGAGAGCTCAGAGAGATAATTTTTTACTTGTTAGAGCTCTATGAAAGTGGCAA